GGAAAACTAGGCCATATAAGGCCTATATACCACAGCTCAGGTAAAAACTGACCGTGTTAAAATATCCCGCAACAACCTACCATAAGCCATTTTCAGTTCCAACAGAAAAGGAACAAAAAAACAAGGTAACGTCACTCAACTGCAAAAAGAACAGTCAAACCAAACAGTTTGCACAAATGAGCCAATCGGGAAGCAGCAAATTCCGAACATAGATGAGGGCTTGCACCCACCACAGCCGCCGCCACCGTAGAGTTACAATAATTCACCGAACCCCTTCGACCAGCTCTTTCCTTGAAGGATGCATTCCCAGTTGAGCCTACGATACCTTCAACATGTTTGGTGCCCATACGACCGCTGTTGGATTTTTTTTCAACCAGGACTGTCTTCAGAGCTCTATTATGCCTGGGAGACCAGGTCTCCCGCAACTGATTGCCTGTTGTCTGTTGTCGCGGTCCATACCCACTGCCCACGATGCTGAGACCCGCGTCGTTCAGGGTTTTCCAGCCGCCGCCCGATGTTTCGTCCGCCTCTTCTTCGTCTTCCCCATTAACTTCTTCGCCATCATCTTCCTCGTCATCCTCCTTTTCCCCGTCGCCCCCATCCTCGTCGTCGTCATCATCATCATCATCGTCGTCATCTTCATCGTCCTTGTCATCCTCGTCCTCATCACTGTCATCGTCATCATCATCATCATCATCATCGTCGTCGTCTGCTGCTGCTTCATCTTCACTTAGGTTGACTTCAGTGACGGAGCCCGCCCGATTTCCATTATCAGTGTTGAAATCAAAGTCACCCTGTTTGCTCTCAAGCGTTTCAGTCTTTCGTTTCTGAATGTTGCGTCTGAGTGATTTGCCCTTCGCATGAGTTCCTCCACCTTTTTGACTGTTGAAAAGCTTCTGTGAGGCCTGCTTTTAAAACAAAAACGACGCATTAACTGAGACCGCGCGTGTTCCAGAGGAAATCTCAGAGCACCTTTTTTTAAATTCTTCCCTCTGATGATGGAAGAAAGACATTGTGAGGCTTTCTTCTGAGGCCGCCTGGTGACAAAAGGGCAGGGCTGCCTTTCGAGGCCCTTCTTGCCTTTGACTTGTACCAATAACCTACCTTTACATTTTAAGGATTCCGGCTTTCCATTTTTTCGTCAAAGTCCGCCGATACAAGGTCTGATTTCCTTTTTTACGTTAAATTCCGCCAAAATAAGGTTGAATTTCCCTCAATGGG